TCGTAAGAACAATGAGAAGTTTATCGGAAATAGATCCAACGGATTTTCGACATAAACCTAAATACGTGTGGACAATTTTGCGTAATAGATTCGGATCTAGGTTTTTTTTAATATGATAGACAAGACGAAATGGTTTGTTTATCTTTAAAATTAGGCGGGATAGACTCAGATCACCTATTTAAATCGAAAACTAGTATGCAATCATATATCAAAATATATTGAATGTTGATATGGAAAAACATTTTATAGTGAGAAAATAGTGATTTCATGAACGAAATTGTTGATATTGATCGATATGGTGAGAATTTTTTTATATCATTTGGTGTTTTGATAGGTGAGAATTGATATTACTAGGATAGTTTCTAACTTTTTCCAGTCAGTTGATTTCACATGTCTTTTTTGATTGTTTTACACCACTTAGGATAGTACTCGAACAACTTTAGTTTCATGTATTTGGCCTATATATAAACAAACAGCGTATTATCGACGGCTTTTTGGAAAATTTCACGCCATGTAATAGAACATGTATGTCGTTTTCAATTTCTAGGTGACCAAAATAACAATACATATATGCATGATGAATGGTCCACGTAAGTACTAGCTACAATTTACATGAGAGAGAGAGATAGATGTATTATATACTATTGAGAAGAAGAAATAAGAGAGAAGGTTACTCGGGTGGATCGATGTGAAAAAGAAGGTAAAGCGAAACGCACTAAGCCATTACATGATATCGACCTTCTTATCTTTTTCTTCTTTATTTTTTTCTGTCAAGACTTTTTTACACTTAATGAAACTTCCAAACTATCTTAAACTAACCCATTCCCATGTAAATAAAGATGATATATGAGCTATAATTTCTAATTTGTAAAAGGACTGCGCTAAAGTGATAATTTTAGAAATATATGTCCAAAATTATACTATTGATCGATTATCAGTTAGGGCTATAGTAAAAAAACAAATAAAAAAACATTCTTGATTAGCCAAAAAGAGATAAAGAGTTTTAGTTTTCTCTCTCTAATTATGATTTCACTAAACCCAATTAGATTCAAACAATCAATTAAGTCCAAAAGATAAACATGGGACAACAATTCGATGCAAAAAATTCCTTTTTACATGTTCCATATTCTTTCTTTTAAATTAGTAATAAAAAAGCTCACAAATCCACACCAAACCCATTTTCTACATACAACTCATCTTCATCAAGATTTACCCACTCCCACCGAAAGAAAAAAA